TAAGCACCCCTCACTTCCAACCCAAAGGTTGTGAGTTCGAGTCACCAAGGGAACAAAAGAGGTGGGAGCTCCTAGGGAAGGTAAAAAAAAAAACTTATTTTGTTATTTCTTCACTTTTTTTATGAGTTATTGTGATATCTATTCATTACTCTATTTTACTGTTACTTTACTTTAATTCTTAATATATTTTTTATTCATTATACTTATTAAAAATGCCTAATTTAATATAAAAAATCATTATTTTAAAATATAATTAATTATTTTCACTTTTATTTTGGCTCTAATTAATATACCTGAAAAGAAATAAGTGTGATAAATTAATAATATATATTAGATTGAATATTAAAGAATAAATAAAATTAGTATTTGTAACGACCTGTTCCCGTCGTATTAGAAAAGTCAACGGAAAAATTTTTGGGCATGAAAACTTTTTCGTAGTAACTTGGAATTTTCCAACCTAGTCCAGATTTGGACGAAATCGGAGTCAGTAGGTCTAGGGAAATCTGGTAACAATTGGGTGATCAAATTATTCACATGAGTAGATAGCTAAGACGTTAAAGAACCCGTACGACTTTACGAAATTGAATTCGGTTGAGTAGAACTCCCAAAACAGATCTTAGCGTGAACGGATAGTTTCTGAGTGTAGTTGGTTGAAGGTGTGTTGTGAAATGGGAGGTTCGAATTCTTAAATTGTCTCACTGGTTCCGTGCAAGTCGCTAAGACGGGATAATTTTCTCCAAGGTGGGGCAGCTGCAGCGGGGTAAGTACTGTTGTGGCGGGATAGGCGTGACTTAAGTCGAAAATAAACCCAAAAACATTTTATTCTGCACTTTTTGACTTTGAGAGTTAGGAAACGACCCCAAGTGCTTTCTTGATGGTTTTTCACCATTCTTAAGGCTAAAGGTAAGGTTTTAACTCCCCGAATCCATTTTTCGATCTGTAAATCATAATCTAATGGGTACTTATCGATGGGGGAGAGTTTTGATCTGAAATTTATGGTGGAAAAAGCCCTAATCTGGGTATGGGGATCATGGGTTGATAGTGTTGACTTTATTTCGGGTAATTAAGTCTTGTTTATTGATCCTATCATTATATTGATTGTTTGTAGACCAAGAACAAGCGGAAAAGATTCGAAAAGGCAAGAATCAAGTTTCTTAGGGGATTCAAACTTGTTTGAGGTAGGTGATGGTTGCGATTTCATGTTGTGTGATGTATGTTTGTTCTTGCTTCATTATAATACATGTATGTATGCGAATGTTGCATTATTGATCACACTAATTGTAAATGAGAATAAATGAATGTCATGAATCATGACTGTATGATTATGAAAATGTACTTTATGATTGTGATTGTGACTTGTTGAATGGATCGGGTGTTGCGTTCCGACACACTAACTTGGATCGGTTGCTACGTTCCGGCATAAATATGGGATCGGTTGCCATATTTCGATATAAACATTGGATCGGATACCACGTACCGGCATGTTAACAGTTTAGGTTTGGGTTTCATGAGAGGACCATTGACTTGGCATAACTGTGTAATTGAGAATTGCGAACTTGATCGTTGTTCATAAATGATATTAATATTTTATATGTTTGGTGTATGCATGTTATTATTATGTTGTAATGGCTTATGTATGTTGCACTTAGTGGTATAACCGCGTGATTCTACCAGTACACTGTGGTTGTGTATTGATACTGCACTTACTCTTTCTTTCTTGAGTACAGAGCATCTTCAGGCGGCTATTGACAGACCACATTTAGAAGATCAGTGATTGTTCGAATTCAAGGGTGAGTCAGTTTTTCTGGATTGTCATGAGTTCTCTTTCGTTTAAAGTCCATATTTTTGGACTTAGACCTTCTAGTTAGTTATTCCTATGTTAGTTTGGGGTGGTACCCCTTCTTGTTTAGACTTCTGGATCTTGTTAGAGTTTTGGTACATTGACTTTCAGGTTCTAGGTATTACTTTCGCAATGTTAGTTTTGGTTGTTAAACTTTTGTTGGAGTTTATGGGAACTCCCTATCTTTTCCTTAACATTAAACTTGCTTCTGTAACCTTAAATGCTTTAGTATTTTGATTAAGTTGATTAGCTAATTAGTATGAATGGTTTTTCCACCGGAGGGTTAGTGTGGGTGCCATTCACGATGGTCTGGGTCGTGACAGTTTCAATATTTTAAAAAAATATATTTTAAAAGATGTTAAAAAGTAACTTTACAAATAAAATGAATAGGATGGTATATTTGCATTTAAAGTAAACTAAAAATGTTTACTAGATTATAAACGAGTAGTTCTTAATTAAATTATATAATCAAATTTTTACTTTATTTGATTTTAAACATATTATTCTAAATAGTGAACTAATGCAAGCTTGATTTAAATTTAAAGTTGTCCGGCCAAAATTTGATATCTTTTTATTATATAGAAATATGAAGTTGAGGACGATCGAGGATAATATGATCATTTCATATATATTTTATTTTAAAATTCTATAAATTCTATTTTTAAATTTGTCAAAATGTTTTTTCAGGTGACTAAATTTCCTCCGTAAGTTACATGATTATTCTAGAAACTATAAATTATAAGATTTTTCTAGAACTAACTACGACACAAATAAATAGACACTAACTCATTCTTCATTTCACCCACTCCTCAATTCTCTCCCCTCTCATGTCTTGTACCAATAAATTTTTCGTCCTTTATTTCTGATTTGCATCATAAATATTACACACTTCGGTATAGATCTCTTATTAGGAAGACCAATAATGCAGTTTTTTTCAACATTAAGAACTTCATTTTTGATCAATTCCTTACATAATGACCCTACTTTTGTAAAACAATTATAAGACAAAAGTAAAATTCGTTATTTCGAACACATCACTTATGGGACTTGTCCATATAACAAATTTTCAGCAAAATTCAATTGATCCACATTTTTCAAACACTCTAATGAACATGATAATGGTCCAGTTAACATGTTAAATCCAATATCAATCACAATTGCAATTCTCAAAAGGCCTAATTCATAAGGAATGGAACCAGTGAGTAAGCTCTTCAAGAACAAAATTTTCAACAATTTTGGAGCATGTTATGTCTTTTCCTTTGGTTCTCTTTAGACTTTTCAATTTCATGGCGTTTCTTTTCTTTTTGGATTGTAATGATAATTTTTGAAGTATCTAATTTACTTGATTTCTCTTTTTATGTATAATCCCAAAGCTTCACGTAACATATATACCATTATATAATTTATTGAGAAACATATATTTATTTATTGCTATTATTTTAACAGAATTATTTTAACATCAGTTAAAATCATTTTAAGCAAGTTATATAAATTATTATTTTAACTACCTCATGTTAAATTACTGCAATATATATTATATTAACTTTTCTTAATATTTTTAAATTCTCATTATTTGAGGTAAAACATTCATTCATCAGGTATATAAATTAATTTAGAAAAAAAAAACCTTACTATACTATGCTGTTCTCCTAATTTTAGTGAATTTAAAGACAAGATATAAAGTCATAACTTTTTTCATCCTTTTATCACTTTGTAAAGAATGTGATGATTCATTCTAATTTTCATCAAGTAGATCACTATTTTTGTTTGTTAAACACCTATAAAACAAATTTTAAGTGTATTCAAAATTAATAGGATCAACAGACTTGATTGCTTCATATAGTTTATGAAAATTGTTAATATATTGAGACTCGTAATTTTAATCTACTCTCTTGAATAATTTTCAAATAAAATAGAAAAAAATATCATTAAATTAATTATTTAATTCGAATATACATGTTTGACATGATGTTAAAACAATCATTGGAGCATGTGATATTTTTTATCTTATTATTATTTCTTATCATGTTTATTTGAAAATATCATAATAATTTTTCTTTTCAAAAACTAATTAAATTTCTATTACAAATATATATAATATTGTAATATTGAACCCCGTTAACCCGTGAACAGGCCTTTAAATTATCTAGTATTTAATAGAAGCAATGCGCTTTCGATATCTGATTGGTTCGTACTTACTCATTTTTTGGTTTTGATGTCTTCCAAACATGTGTACCACCTTTAATTTCTATTTTTATGGACTATACCTTCTTTACTCAATTTTTTACAAAAATAAAAAATAAATATTTGATACTCTTTTTTCTGTTTTTAGTTAGCTTTTTAGGATTACCAAAACTAGCTAAGGATGAGGGTTTTGTTACTACGTACCATTCCAATTATATTATTCGTTGAGGTCTTTTTTTTTTCTTCTTTTTCATAGTGGGGTTATGAAAAAGACTTCAAGAAAATGAAAGAAAAAAAAAGAAAGAAATAGAAGTGTGTGGCCTTTGGCCCTTTGTTCCTTTTGATAATATATATTTCCTCTGTTTTAATTTATATGAATTAGTTTGATTTGACATAAAAATTTTAAAATAAACTTTTGAAATTCGTGATTTAAATAAGTGATAGATGTTTATATAAATAGATATTTTAAAATTAAAATTATTAATATAAAAATATGTTATTTCTTTTGAGACTAGCTAAAACAGAAAGTAAGTCATATAAACTGGAGAGGAGTATAATAAATTGGGGTTGAAAATCAAACAACAAACTTTGTACATTACCCTTCCTTACTTACCCCTTTCATTTTTTTTTCTCTTTGCTTCTCTCTCTCTCTCTCACTCACATTTGTAAGTGTGTTGTGTCTTTCCATTTTAGCTCCAATAGTCCTTTTGCAACCAAAATCTTTTCTGAGATTTTTCTATATTTGTAAGTCCTCATTGCTACACATGTACTATCTTATTATCTACTCCATAACTTATTACCTTTTCTTGCCTCATTTCTTCTATTTGATGCTTTTCTCTTTTCCTTAAACTTGCAAAAAACATCCTTATAATCTCTTCTTGTGTGAAGTTGGTACTTAGAATTACAATAATATTACCTTCATCAGGACTTGAATTAATTAATTTCTAGGTTATTCAATCTTTCGTTGATTTGTGTTTTTTTTTTTTTAAAATAAAGGGATTGATCTAAAGAGATGGTGAGAGGGAAAACACAGATGAGGCGTATAGAGAACACGACAAGTAGACAAGTTACTTTCTCAAAGCGAAGAAATGGTTTGCTCAAAAAAGCTTTTGAGCTTTCTGTTCTATGTGATGCTGAAGTTGGATTGATTATTTTTTCTCCAAGAGGAAAACTATATGAATTTGCTAGCTCCAGGTAATTAAATACTAACATATATATATTTCTTACTTTTAATTTTATTGGTAAATTTTCTATCATTTTACATAAATCTAGCTTCATCTTAAAGATTATATTGCATTTTATGTTAAACATTATTGCATCGTTACAAATTTTCTTGCAGATCGCATCAGATCTCATATTTGTACCTGGAAAATCAAAAACTATAAAAGATCGATGTAAATATAAGTCTATATATAGATGTAGATGTAGATCCAAGCCCTTTTAATTAATTAATTAATTAATTACCCAATGGTTAAACAAATTCTAATTCTTGCTTAAAAAAGTTTCTCCAAGCTAAGTTAAGTACCTTCATGAAGAGGTTGGTACTGTAGTCTATTTAGAAACTCAACCCTAGTTAGTTAAAAGATTCCTCTTAAATTACTACATTTTACTAACAACATAGTAAGTAATCATATTGTAATTTGGTTCCTCTAACCTAAAAAAAGAATAATAGTGTTAAATCTCATAGGACCAAATTAAGTTTTCCTTGAGTAATTATATTAGACAATAGAAAGTGTACAATGATCTTGTTTGTAGTTTTAGTAGTACTAGTTATCCTCATCTCATGTTTGGTTTAAGGGTGTGTTCGGTACAAAAAAAAATATTAACTTTTTTATAATGTTCAATTGTGAAAGTTGTTTGAAAATATTTTCTCTGAAAAAAAAATGAATAAAAATAAGTTTCAGTACTAATGTCATATATATTATTGATTGTGTCTTCACTATCCTCTAATGCTCGCTCTCACCACGGCGCCGCCCATAATCTTCATTTCTAGGTAAGAAATTCACTTATTTTTCAGATTTGCTTAGAATAAATGGTCAAGAGGTATACTGTGTGAACTTAAATTAAGTGTTTTTTTTTTTTTCGTAGTATAAATGGGAGCCAGTTGTCAAGTTATAGTAGTACTAGTTGATTTCATGCTCTATATATGTTCTTGGGCTGTTCCCATTATAACGCCACCTTAAGAATCTTTTGAGCTGACAACTACCTATTTCTGTACGGACATCAATCACTATGCCTTTTGTGCTTCTATGTATGATATATCATACTATATTATATATTTCTGTCAGTAAAATCTTTATTTTCTTTCTTAATATATGGAATATCCATGTTATTACCCATAACTTTTGACTTCCTAGTAAAAGGCATGCTTCCATAACTACAAACAAAGAGATTATTAGGAGAATAATTGGTAGTTGTGCGTGTCTCCTCCCTTTTTTTTAAGTGTTGGTGTCAGTTTGCGTGCATCATGATTATTCTACCACCAAATCATTTATATTGTTTCTGATGAAATTTGAACCCTAATGCAATTACTCGTTATCGAATGCTAGTTTATATATGTTGATATTAATATGTAAGTGTTGTTCAAAATTGGCAGCGTACCGGAGGTAATTGAACGCTATAAGAGGCATACTAAAGATAAAGTTCAACCTGATGTAAATCAATCTGTGGATATTCAGGTAAATATGCAATTAGTGCATTTGCAAAAAAGTAAATAATTAAAGGCTTACATTATATATGCATATAATGCAGAATACTAAGCAAGAGACAGCAAGTTTGATGAAGAAGATAGAGCTACTTGAATCATCTAAAAGGTTCAATTATATATAGCTGTTATTTCATTTTTACTACTCCTTCCGTCCCAATTCATGTGACATTATTTAACTGGATATGGAGTTAAAAGAATAAAGGAAAGACTTTGTTATGTTTATCGAATTGCCCTTATTAAAGTGACTTTTCTTCACAATAAAGTGTTAAGTGAGACACAATACGCGTGAAATGGAGAAAGTGTCATTAAATAGTTGCTAAATGAGGAAATATGACATTTCTTTTGGCGATGGATTAAAAAAGAAAGATCGGGTGTCACATAAATTGAGACAGAGCGAATATTTTTTTCTAAGTCTCAACATTGAGAGTAAGTTTTGAAAGACCTTTTCAATCTTCTAAATGGCAATTTGCATGCAAAACACAGGAAACTCTTGGGAGAAGGTTTAGGATCATGCAGCCTTGAAGAAGTACAACAAATAGAGAAGCAATTGGAGCAGAGTGTCACTACTATCAGGGCTCGAAAGGTATAATTTTTTCACACAATTACAAGCATGCTTAATAACTTTCTATAATCTATTTTGAAATTTATGGAATTAGTAACTACTTGTAACGCATTTTTCGTTCTCTTCTTGTTTTCAGATGCAAGTCTTTAGGGAACAAATGGAAAGATTGAAAGAAAGGGTAAGACTAGTTGCATTGTCACAATTCATACATGCATAATGTCAATTATTCTATATGCTAGGTTGCTCAGACTCTTAAACATGCCAACGCGTGCATAAATGGTCAGTTAGAAAACTATACTAAGGTTGACCTTTTTTAATATATATGTGTCGTTGGTGAAAAATCCTGACTCTCACATTGCATGCGTGGGTGGGTCTATATTAATTTTAGAGGATCAATCATGAGTGTGGAAATATGTTTAGAGAATCCGAACACCATAGCCTATAAGTGGTTATGATTTTGTTGCTTGTTATGCTTGTCTCCCTAGAATTTGTTAGTAACTTAACGTTAATTATTTATTTCTTACTTTCTTGTGTAATATATTATCCAGGAGAGAGCCCTTACAGCTGAAAATATGATGCTGAGGGAACTAAAGGTACAAATATCTTTTCCTTTTTTTGAGTCATACACATAGTCTAGACTCCCAAACCAAACTTCAGATCTATACAGTTAATATTTATTTTTTTGAAATTTATGAACTTCAATTATATATGACTTAAATAAATGCGTCTAATTTGAGTATTGTTCATTGTTGTATTAGTTTGGAGGGGATGGAGAGAGAGGAAAATCAAGTGGAGAGAAAGAAAGAGAAGTAGTAATTTGTATAGAAGGTGGTAGCGATAAATCAGATGTGGAGACTGAATTGTTTATCGGACAACCTCATCATCATGACTCCAGAATAAGGCGTCCTGAGTGGTCTTGAGTGGTCCGATAAAGGACCACTCAAGACCGCAGAATTGCTCTCATGTGCCCTTATTTTGTACTTCAATTTAAAATGTGTAAATTTTGACTAATTATCAAGTATAAACTAACTAGTATTCTCATCTGCTTAATTATTTTGGAGATGTATGAGTGGGCTTAATCTCTCTCTTAATTAAGATGGAGTTTAACTTTAATCCCCTCTTCTGAGATGCAATTTGTACTTATTGAAATGATGTAGTATTACATTTACTTTCACTTTAATAAAGCTCCTTTCTTTTATGATGTTCATCAGTAAACTTTCATATTATATTTTCTTTCTCTACTTCAATAATATATAATATAATATACATTATCGAACAACTAGAAAGAAATTACATTTAACTCTAAAAGTAATAAACTAACCAACTGCACGTCTACTTTAGGCAATCAACATAATTGTTGCTATTGGTCCTGGAGAGAGAAATAAAACCTATAATCAAAATGTTATGTATGGATGTATATAACTTTTAAGGTATAGTTTTTGGTATTTGATAGTCATTGGTTTAATTCAATTCACTTCAAAGGTTCATTAAAAGAAAAATTGTTCTCAATATAAAGTTTATAACTTTTTAAACTTGGAGTTAGAATTTTTTATCATGGGCGAAGAGATTTTATCCGTCCCATAACAACCTCGAAACAATTGGCTAGATGAATTAGAGGGGATTAGACCCTTAGTTTAATCGTACTGTTGACATCTGTCTCGTAAGTAACGGACTGTTTGGGTATCCACTTATTTTTAGCATCTTTTGCTTCTTCTTCATATTCATATAAAATTTCGTACAGAGGTTTTATTTTTATTTCTGTTACATTAGAAAGCCTTTTTTTTTCTTCTTGATTTTGTACAAAGGTTTGGCGATTTAGGGACCACTTTTGAACATGGCCTTTACTTTCAAATTTTAGTTGACCACATGATAACAGTATTTTCATCAAATTTTCTTTGATTTATTATAGCATATCATAGTATTCTCAAAAATGTTTTCTGCTATAACTAGGTCTTTTTTCAATTGGAGTAATATAGAGTTAATCAATTAATTATTTAAAGCAAATCGAGTCTCAAATAAATTTATTCCAATAATATAAGATACGTCTCCACGCACAGTTATAAGAATCTAGTGAGGTTGACGCTCTGGAATAAATTTTATAAGAGGTATATAATTTGTTTTCGATTTCTCATTGGCAATGACACGTATATACTAGTACTTGACATATATTGATGTTTTCCCAACACTAAATATAAAAACTCCCATGGTCTTGTCATAAACTTAATCATTACATGTATTACATTTTTATATGAGAACGTTCAAAGTAGCTAGGAGAGTCAAATCACCTCATTATTATTAGAGTGAATGCAAACATATAGTACTAAAATTCCTATAATTTTCACTAGTAGGTCTCACACTATTTAGTATATCCCTACAATTTAAATTTAATAATTAGTTTGCTTTTCTTTGGAGTTATCGATTTAAAATTTTGTTCGCATACCTAACACGTTCTCTCTTATCTATCAGGCAGCAACATTAATTTCCTCCTTTTATACTATAATTTCTAAGAAATTGAGTTTTGTTCACATGTAACATACATAGTTCATATGTCATCCCCATTTCGATTCTTGTACTACACGAAGTTTAGTTTTATCAAAACATTTCTATTTAAATTATTCCAATTCTGATTTTGAAACACTTCTATTTAAATTAAAATAAAACTTTTAAACCCCTCTTACTATGCGAACTTTCTTTACTTAACTTTAACTTTTCTCTAATCACATTCAAATATTCCATTTCAATTTCAACCAAATACTTTTATCCAACACACAACTTAAATATTTCTCGTTTAGAGTTAACAAGATTCTGTCATAAATGTCATTGTTTCCCATGAACTTGGATATAGTAAAAGCACAATCAACCGAAAAAATTACTCTTTGTTTACTTTTACTTGTCTACTTTGAACTTTACATGTTCCTTAAGAAACAATGATTAATATGCGCATTTTCTCTTATAATCATATTAATTATTTTATTTTTAAGTCTTGACAAATGCTTTTTGAAATAAGTAACTAATCATGTTGGGGATAAACTAGAAATAATAATAATTTTGTTTTAATATATTAAAAATGACAAGTAAAAATAAAAATATATTTTAAAAACAATGAATAAGTAAAACTGAACAGACTAATGAGATATGTGATCTATCTAGAGTCAATTGGGAACCAATTCAATACTAATGAGAAACAATTTTTAATTACAAATTGGAAAAAAAATGCGCATTTAAATGTTTGTAAAGATTAACCCTAGCTACTTTCTGGATACCAAATTATAAAACTACTTAATACTTTGTTAATAGTGTTAATTAATTTGGACGGCAGGCCAAGAAATGTATTAATGAGTAATAGAAAGATGATTTTATTTTTAAATAGTAAATATAATTAGCAATTTAATATTTTTACGGTTGTAATTTAATCATCCTGTATATAGGGTCATATCTATGACGTTGAACTTAATTATCTTTTGAAAATTGTCAATTTTTGCATATGAAAATTAAAGAATTGATGGATGGAACAGTAATAAACAATTTTTATATTTTTAGGTTAAAACTTCTGTCTTATCATCAAAGTTGCAAGATAGGTAATATTTTTCTATGTTTCAATTAAATTTATCTCGTGAAATGTCAATATAGCACTCTTACATGATATTAGCATTAGTATGTCTATAAAATTATCTCGTGAAAGTTAGAGGTACACCTTTAGATCCCAAACATTTTCGGAGATTACTTTTGGGATTTTATTATAAACTTTTTCTTGGACAATGAATATCATAGGTAGTTTTTCTTTTTCTGCCTGTACTATTAATGCTTCATTAATCTGACGTATGAGATGTATGACTTCTATAGTCGAATGTCATAACATGAATCCAAATTGATTCTCAGTGGACACACCTCTCCTTGTCCTCATCCCATCTCCACCATCTTCTTTCAAATTTTGACAGTGCAACTTAACAACTTGATACCCCTATAGTTGTTGCAATTCTGAATATCACCCTTATTCTTAATTATATAACAAAATCATTGTACTTCTCATTTATTATTCGACATTTTTTATTTCCTAAAAATAACGTCGTCAAACAATCTAGTTAGTCATTTCATACCTAAAATATCCAAAAATCTATATGACTCTCCAAGTGCTCGAAATTATCCAATATATTATTCTTGTTCCTTTCTTCATTAAGAGTTTATTTTCAAGAATAATTTTAAAAGATAAAAGAAAACTCATTTGATTTCAAACTGATTAGTAGACTTAACTCCTTGATCATTTCAATTTAATTTGACAAAGGAAGAAAAATAGGAATTGAAGAAATAAAGGGTAAAATAGTCTTTCAAATTTATTAAGACGAATAGAATATAGAGGTCAATTTGTGGGTAAAAAAATATTAAACATGATAAGTTGCCAAAAAAGGTACGCATCAGGTGATGTTAGCAATCCTCCTTAAAAGGAATTAAATTAGTCAAACACTCACCTAATCTCTAATATTTGAAGATTAACATAAGTATATATATAAATTATAATTAACTGGTCCCGGAGAGAGATTTTTTTATAAAAAAATTTGAAATTATTAAAAAAATAAATGCACTGGGTAGTAGCAAACATGGTGGCTTCTCGAGATTATTTTTTAAAATTTTAATTTATGTAAAATTAAAGTTTTTTCGATTAATGTACTAATAAAGGGATATAATAGTACAGTAAATTATTAATTAATTTATAGTTTATTTAAAATAAAGTTGGTTGGCGTGCCGACACCTGTCACCACCATCCACTACGTCCTGTTTGGGTGCCCACTTACTTTTGGCATTTTTCCTAATTTTGGTACTAAGGTTTTGTTATTTTTTGGGACCACTTTTGAGCATCATTTAATTTACTCATTAATTTTAGATATCTAATCAAATACTTTTGTATTTTCCTATTTTTGTTTAATCTAATAGATAAACAATATTAAAAGCATATTTAGAGTCCGCTTAAATTGACTTATTTTTAGATGTTTTTTACTTTTAAACATCTATTTAATTTTGAAGATGTTTAAAAAGTTTTAAAATAAAACAAAAGTTAAAAGTAGGATATTTTCTATTAATACTTTTAACTCTTTATTTATAAGATCATACAAACCGTCCCTTAGTAGATTATGAGCCCAGGGGGTTATTAGTCTTTCTGGGGTTAAAACAGAAAATATATTTTTAACCGTTCTTTCGAATAATCAAGAGTATTTTCAATATTTCTCAAAGATTTTTTTCGCAAATAATATTATCCCATTAATTAAAAAAATATAGGCGCCAACAGTACATGGCAAACATGAGGACAATTATAATTAACATGTTTTGTGCTCAATTGGTTACGTCGTCTTCTTTCGCTGTTATATACCCTACTGACGTATACAAAATATACATGTGCAATTTTGTTGGTGTATTAATAATTTTTTCCAATACAAGTAGTTGCATTAATCCATAACATTTATTACTAGCGGAAGTCAGAAATATTGTTAAAGGTATTCAAAATTTAATATCAAGTATGAAAAATAATTTTTGAGCTATATATTTTGTACAATTTTTTTTATATATATAATATATAATTTTTCGACTAATAATATCTAACTGATCAACCTAAATAAAATGTGACTATGCCACTATGTACTATCACTGGCCCAACATATGCTATTTCTTATCTCGATTTACGTGACACAAGCAAAAATTGAAGAGTCAGTTAATTTATTTAATTTTTAAAGTTGTAATTACGATAATCTATAGTTTTTTTTTTTATGTAACTTTTAATAATATATGTAGTCTCTTTGTCTCAATTTATGTGGTACTGTTAGCTTTTTTATTTATTTTTTAAAATTTAAGTTGTTAATTATTATGACTCACAGTACATTGTATTTCATAAAAGGGTAAAAAATGTCCTTAAACTATGCGAAAGGAACAAAAATGCCCTCCGTTTGTAGTTTGGTCCAAAAATGTCCTTCCGTCAATATTTTGGTCCAAAAATGCTCTTATTGTTATTTAATGGGTAAAAAATGCGCATTTTTTTCAAATAAATATATATTATTATTATTACACATTCTTTTTTTAATAATATTTTGTTAAATTAGCGAATGTTTAGCTTACTTCAATTCAGAAAAAATGAAAATATTTCTTATTTTATTTTTATAAATATAAATTAATTTTTGAATATACTATGTTCTT